CTATACGACCCTAACCAATATCATAGGGCTTTAAAAAATAATAATCTGAATTATTAAGACAATTGCTGTGGGCTGAAGTTTCTAAGTCGCCTATTTCAGGCTTGCTTCAAGAACTCGTGTCTCTTCTGAAGAACTCTGTCTATCTAAATTCGAAATCGAAGTTCAAAAATATTGAACTAAATTCTACTCTTATTTGTGGTGTGAATTTTGAGGTTATTTGATAGACTGGATACCTATAAATATTAGACTGACTTCGAACGAACATAGAAAGCTAGTAAACCTTCGTAATTACCTCCCAGAACTTGAAGGAAATTCACGAATTTGTATGAATTCTTTAATTTAGTGTAAGCGGTTCCCGTTTGGAGAAAAACGCCTTTTCCAGAATTGACTGGACCGATTGAAATTTTCACACGACCTTCTTAGATATACATATTTGTTATGTAATGATCGCAGAAATACCATTATTGAAAATAATTTCGATTTTTTAATTCACTCGTGAAGTGTACATTTTTTCATATAACTCCTTTTTTGTTTGGGAAACCGTAATTTTGTCAAAAATGTTTTGACTAGTCCCTCGATCATTACCCGTATTCACCTGTTGCAACAATGATTTCTTTTTGTGGCTTTTTGATTTGTGTTAATTTTAAGCAGAAAAATCTTCCTCACCGCCAGACACCTTTTTTCCCTGAAAACCGGCTACGGAATCAAGGGATTCTAAAATTTTTTAAAATCAAAATTTCATAAAATTATTTTTATGTATTTATTAAATGAAATGCCTCTTCAAAAAACGCTTCACAAACACGTTTTTTCTGACTGGCAAGTGGATATAACCTCTAAATTTCTAATCGTTAAAATGATCCACTTCCTCTTATTTATTTGTAATTTTTCTACAAGAATTTGTTTATGACTTTGGCTTTACCTGCTGTTAAATAACATAGGCACTTGTGTTAACTTTGTTATAGCAAATATTTGTTTTATAACTCATTGTGGGTCAAGTGTTGTCTGTCTTATTTGCACGTACTACAAACATACATACATATGTATGTATGTATATTCTCGAGTGCATTTGCGTGTGTGTATATTCATGTGATGTTTACCTCTCCGCCCAAAAATGTTTACAAAATGCGTCAATAAGTGGGATTTTTATTCGCATTTACTTGAGGAAACACCTCGCCTTTCATATGTTTGTACATATATCCACGTGCAAGCATGTACATACATATATTATATATCTACCTATATACATGTGTAAATATGTATCTATGGATGCTTATGCAAGAGACACATTTTGCAAATGAACAATCGCAGGTGTTTTATGCCCCACATGGTCGATGCATACGTGTACACACACGCCTACACACATACGTTAATTTCTAAAAAGGCGGTTTCCATAAAAAGTCCAATGAAATATTGTAATCAAGTGCAATTTGCTTATTATTTTGAATTTTGCATTCATTTCGCATTCACCCGCGGCCTCTTTTTCGCTTGCTTTTTAGTCGAACCCATCAAGTACATGCTCTGTTTTGTTTTGTTGTTTTTTATGTTGTGTTAGTTACTTAATTTCATAGTTTACGCTCAATAAACAAATTTAAGTTATACAGTTGAAAGGCTTTTTTTTTTGACGTTGCCACACGTTTACAACTTTTAATTGATATGACAAATAAATCATTGCTTTATACTTGTACATATAAAACTAAGGTGCTTTAAGGAGTATTACTGCTGAAAATATTTTTTTAAGAGCGTTGCCACCTATTTAAAAAAATTTTTTCATAAGAGAAACGTGCTATCACAACATGACGACTAACTGAAAAGGTGTGAAAACATTAATCGAAAATTCGAAGCTGATCCGGCAAAAAGTTTCGGAGCGATAAGCGTATTTGTACCGTTTTTGGGAAGCCGCAATTTCCTTCTATCATTACCAATATTCATCTATTTGAGATAATTTTAACCAAAGATATATTCCTCACCGCCACGCACCTTTTTTCGAAGGAGAAAGAGATCGGCTAAGAGATCAAGGAAAGAAAAAAAAAAGAAAAATTAAAAATTGACCAAAAAACGCATTTTTTCTAACTTATATATAACCCCTTAAATTTTGCATATTTCAATGCTACTAAAAATATCATTTTACCGCTATTCTTTCAGATTGTCGGTGTTTTGGGCATCGTCTTTGGGGCACTTATACTCAATAGCATCGGTGTGATCGAGGTTGATGGCCAAGTTGGTTTCCCCGTACAGGCAGTTTTGCCAATTATGCTCATAACACTCGGTTCGATTGTGGTATTCATCGCATTTTTGGGCTGTTGTGGTGCCATACGTGAATCGGTCTGCATGACTATGTGCTATGCCGTCTTCCTGTTGGTCCTGCTCATTATACAGCTAACAATTGTTGTACTACTATGGACAAATAAGGATAAGTTCAACAATGCCATGGGCGAGGTCATCGACAAAGCATGGGATAGTCATACCAAGGAACCGGCCGTCTTTGAAGCTATACAACTTTCAGTAAGTGTGTTGAATTGTATGTGTGCGATTATTGGTTGTAACATGTCTACTTTCGTTTAGTTGAAATGTTGCGGCAAGAATGGCATAACCGATTATGTAGTATTGCTGCAAACGCCACCCTCAAGCTGTTGTGAGCATAACGATTGCGTGAATCCATTAAACATTTATGGTGGTTGCCGTAGCAAATTCCAAGATTTCATGTCCTTCAGCACCGACACAGCCAAACACGTTGGCTTGGGATTGATCGCTGTAGAGGTGTGTAATTTTTTTTTTAAATAATTTTTTTTTTATTATTAAAGTAATTCGTTTATATCGTCTACAGTTGGTTGGTTTCATCTTCGCCTGCTGCTTGGCCAATAACGTGCGCAACTACAAACGCCGAAACGCCTACTAAGCGTGGCTTAAACCCACTCCTCTCGCAAATGTTCCACAAATTATAATTTTATGCTTGTTGATGTCGTGATTTCGTCATAAAACGCACATTTATTTCGAAATTTAAAATAATATGCAATAATGTTTGAAGTAAGCCTTTGATTTATGAGTATGTATGTATATTTTTTGTTAGGATAAACATACAATATGTACTCTGAATACAATTTTTTATATATATGTCTAATGAAAATTAAGCTGATATGAACAATTGAAAGCAAAAAAAAAAAAAACTAAATTCACATTTCTAATGAATTTACATAAGTAAAAAGTTTAAATCGAAATGCGCATTAAAAACCATAAAATGAAAAGCTTACCGAGTATGCCTGAAATGAACAATATGAGGCCATGAATAAACCACTTTAAATATACATATATACCATATGTACATACGTTGTACCAAAAAGGAAGCCAAGATAATGAAAAATATGGAGTATAAGCAACAAAGAAATCTCAAGTGAATTTAAAACAAATTTTATTTTTTCAAGCGAATTAAATATGTCTTTATTATAAATGTAAACAATAATGTTATCGACTTGAATTAAACTCTGCGCGAGATAATATGCATTCACAGTTTATTATTATATGTATTCTATTGGATATAAATAAAAGTATATATGTATATATTTATTACAGATATAGATATATATGTAAATGTTAGTTACATTATCTACAAGTTATGTTGAATTAATGTTTATTTGATTTTATGACTTTTTACATGTTAAACTAAAGCGAGTTCAAAGCTTGCAAATTATTTACCATATATGTACATACATATGTATGTATGCATGTACATATTAATATATACTATACACATATGCATTTACGAATCTACTATGCGTTTGCATACAACGAACGTTAATATGTTCGTCTCTCCTAAATATACATACATACATATATGTATTCAATCACCTTTTGTACCATTTTTTTGAAAATCCACTTACCCAAAAGTAATTATAAAGTTTTTTCCTACTTGAAATTCCATAAAAACACGAATATTTAAATAAAAACGGCAAAAAACCAAATTGTACAATTTTTATTTTTAAAGAGTGTTAAGTGCAGACTTATTATTGTAATACATACTCGTACATGTGTATGCGTAAAAAATGTGCATTGCAACAGTTGATTCTGATTTCTATATGTGGAAGTATGTATATTAAAACAGCAAGTCGGTTTACGAAAAGGCAGGTATTTTTATACCTTGAACCGGGTCTATTAGGTTTGTCACGAAGCCTGTAACATCCAGAACGAATCGTTGGAGACCATATAATATATATATATATATATTGGTATAAATGATAAGCATGATGAGCTGAATCGATTTAGCCATGTCCGCTACAAATTGTTTAGATCAGGTCACTATAGCATATATGTAGCTGCTATGCAAACTGATCAATCCATGCCATACAAAACAGTTCTTTTATGAAAACATTTTTTGTTTGTGAAGGGTATTATATCTTCGGGGCAACGGATGTAAAAAAATTTTCATGTTTTTTTCAGTATTGTTTTAGACAAAATACGTCGAGCCTCGAATCAGTTTGAATCGTCTAGTGCCATTTTAACATAATTACACTAAAAAAAACTCTGATTACTTTAGAAAGTTACATATTGAATTTACAAGTATATATATATATATTGCGTGGACCTAAGTGCTCAAACAAAAATGTTGAATTATGACCTATCACAAAACCATTTACTTATATATGCAAATTCCTTAGTTATTTTAATAATAATAGCTTATATCTTTATTATTTAATTAATAATTTAATTTATTACATACAAACATCCTTTAAATGCAGAAACGAATACGAATTACGAACAATAATGGACAGCTAGCTGTAGTCATTTTAGCTTTGACAGTCGAAAGTGAATGTCTTGACAACAACTCTTACTTCTAATTTAAGTCGGACCATTCTGAACGTTTCGTTGTTTACTAAAATACATACATATGTACATAGTTATCAGGTGCATATACTCGCACATACATATATACAAGGAAACCTGAGTTGGGCGGAATATTTTGTAAAACTTTTGTTTTGTAGCTTGGACAATATGTTAATGAAGCTTAAGTAAACTTAAGTAACTGGGAATAATTTTCGATTTTTTGACCAACTAATTCGAGACTCGGACTTGTTATTATCTTTTAAGCACCCTATATGATCTGAACCTTCAAAATGCGTTGAAATAATAAGGAAGATAATGCTCAGATTTTCACTAGATGTCATAATATCTAAAAAAGCTTAAGTCGACTTAAGCATTTTCAACATATTATCACAGCTATTATTCCAATAGTTGCAATCAACCCTAAAGCTACAATATTTTATTAATAATAATTGCTGGATATGTCTGCATGCAAGTGCCACAATTATTACCAACAACAACATACTGATGATAATAAGGTCATTCATTGCCTTGGTGATTGGAAAGCAAAGCAAGCACACCAAACATTTGCATCGATTGGAATAATTTTACATTTTAAATTTGCTGTAAAGTTTGCCGTTGATTATACTCATTTCAGGATAAGCTCCGGTATGCCCCATCGGTTTCGGTGTCACCTAAAACAGCGACTAATTACGAATTCTAAATAAAATCGATAATAATTACACTTAATTTTTTTGTAATTTTCAATTTATTTTCTGAAAAAAAAAATTGATTTTCGTACCAATTTGTATTATAGACTAAACAAAGATTCGCGGGTTCGTCTAGTCATTCTGATCATTTCCATATAGTGTAGAACCCTATATTATCTACTTTGATTTCAGAACAGTTACAAACTACTTATCGTACAATTTACACTCTATGTAAGAATGATAGAGATAGAGAGTTTTTAACATTCGGCCCTACTCTCGTTGTCGTTGTAAAACGAAATTAGAACGCCTATGTGACATTCCTGTTGGCATTTTTAACATTTATCGAAAATAAATTGGTGTTCTCCATTTTGAAACGACATAGAACGGTCGTTTTCTGTCGTTGTAGTAATTGGGATCGAGATAGAAACGAGCTCTGAAAAAGATCCTTCTACTTTTTTTGGGTTGGACTGGCCAACACTCAGAAATACAAAATTGATGACGTCATAGGCAATATGGATTTGGTTTTGTTTCTATGTTGCCGCTATTCATTCTATAGTGTATGACGTCACGATGCAGGAATCTTGCTTCTATCATTCTTAACTCAATGCTATATTATATATTGTAAGACCTACAAACTGATTTCAATTTTCTAGTCGCTGAACAATAAAAATCAAAATCCACAAACGTTAGTCTCACTGTTATCGAATTTTCGGCAAATCGATAGTGAGTCAACACATATGGGAAGCGGATATAAAACAATTACGTTTCATTTAATCTGACCTTTTTTTGCTTGCCTGCTTAAAGTTGGTAACATTTAATTAAGCATTTTACTTAAAAACTTTTTATATGGAAACGTGATACGATGATTTGGAGTTCACGCTTTATGCATGTTGGCTTTTTCTCGTTAAAAAGCTTCAAAGCTTCAGTATATTTTGTAATAGAAGTAAAAGTTTCGCGCTGAGAAAAAGAGAGAGTTAAATGTTTATTTATATGTTTACTTATGTACCCAAGAAATATTTTTAACGTTCTCTTAACACACATACACACAAACAATACACAAGAAAAATATAATATGCCTGTGACAGACAAGGGGATAACTATACAATAACACAAATACTATGGTAGCTTGTTTACTACGGCTGATGTCTTGAAAAGAATTTCTGAAGCTTTTTATCAGTAGTGACAAAGCATATATGCGGTTTTTACCTAAAATATTTCAAAGTAAGTACATATAATAGAGAAAACTATTCTTAAATAGGTTTTTAGAAAACATAAATATATATACACATATATTTTTTTTAAATAGTAAGTTGTTAAGATATCAAAAAAAAAGCTCTTACAAGTTACAAGCTGTCTTTGCAAAATTTAATGAACTTTTATAGAAACCTTATTTGGTTGAAAAATACATTCAAAGGTTCGATTCAATTTCTGAAGAAGATTCTGGAGAGGGACAACTTTTTTACTGAAACTTTTTTGGAACTCAGTACAGGATGTGCTTTTTGTTGCTACCCTGTTTATTTCAATTTACGTGTGTATGTATATTTTAGATTGTAGAATTGCCGGCAACTGTCGGTGGTGAGAATATTTGTGCGCTGTGAGAGCGAAAAGTGTTTATCTACTCAGGTAAACTATTAATCCACCACTTTGCCAGATGTATTCAAACATTCAAATATATTTTTAGTTCTAAAATAATGCAAAGAAACTGAATAGTGAAAATTGTGATGTAACTGTCAAATCAGCTGTCATAAATGACATACATATGTGTTTGTTATATACTTTGGCAAATCAACAAGATTCAGGATAAGTTTACACCGGAACAAAGAAAAAATCAGAAACACTATATTATTTTTCAAATTCGCATAATCTTATGCAAAATAAAAATTTTAACGTGAAATTATCCGTATAGTGTAATACGTAAGCAAAAAGTAAAAATAAATTCTGGGATCATGGATCATCATGAAGTAATTTCCAGCATTATAAAAGATGTCTCAGAGCCTTAAGCGGTGAGTAGAGCTTTTACAGTTTTTGTCTTAAATGAATGCATACTATTTTTGTCTTAAATGAATGCATAAAATCAGTTAAATGAATGCATAATATCTTAAGAATGTTGTGTCTAAATTCCACGTTGATCCTATAAAAATTGATGACGTTATGGGTATTTTTATACTTGTATTATGAACTTTTTACATCAGATTTCCAAACGTTAAAGCGTTTTCTCTGTAATACACGTTTTCAAAGCTGGTGCACCTCATAACTTTAAAACTAATACCGAGCTGGAAAGTTCTTTTTTTTCAAATTCGTTAGTATTTTCTATTTTACATTAACCAAATTAACCAAATCTTTCGCAAAAAATTACGTTTTTTTCTACAAAGTGTTTCCAAAAAGTGAAAACTGAATTTTCGAAAACTCTCAGAGCATTATCTGTGCAAAGCGATTATCTATTGATATAATTTTGATTTCACAAATTCCAGCACCGAGTTATAAGGGGCATCACAATTAAAAATTTTTCCGAGACGCTTCAGAGTAATTGCTGCCATTGCTGTATTTCTTATTAAAATTAAAAAAAAATATTTTTTTAAATATCATACTATGTATCATTGGTTTTTAAAAATAGATTTTAACTGTTTTATTAAAAAAAAAATTCATAAAAATATGTCTTGTTTTACGAAACCCCTTAATCGAAAATCGTAGCGCAACTTTTTGTCCACATTTAATCTTCAAAAATTTAGTAGAATAAAAAACAACATTTCAAGGCAAACCCTAATAAATTTACCATAATACTAACATACAACTTAATATTATCGTACAATGGCAACGCTGATGTTTTGCTCTCTCAATTGCCTTTAGGTGGAAGCCAGAAATTTAACACAACGATTTTTAGTTTGCGGTTAAAATTAGGCGCTAAAGCATTAAAATATTTTGTGAACGTGGTATTGTTTTAATTTTATAAGGTATTAAAAAAAAAATATTACATTCGTATAAGTTAACTCCAAGGTTTTAAATTAAAATTGACTTATTTCAAATAATAATGATAATTTGCATTTGTAGGAAAAAAGTTGAAATACTACGCTTTTTAATATACTTATAATAAATACTTGAACAATACATATAATTATTGTGCCAAGTTAAATTAAATTCTAGCGCATACACAGAATTCATAAAACGGCAAGAGCGCAGTGACTTGTTGTTGTTGCAGCGGCATGACTTGTTTACCAAACCGTTAAAAGAAAAAATGATAAATACATACAAGTTTTTGTTATTGATGGCAGTGTTAGATAGCGCCTTGTAAAGAAGAAGACATCAGACAAAGTTAAACCCGATTTGAATATGTACATATGAATACAAGGTGCGTTCCAAAGTAAACAGGACTTTAAAAAAAAGACAGAACAAATGGTTTTACCGGCAAAATCAATTAATTTTATTCAAAATAGTCTACTTCTGCTTTAATACAGCTTTTGGCACGGTCCAAAAACATGTCTTAGCTCGGTGCCCGGTATGGCCGGTGCAAGCCTTTTGAATGGCCGTCTGTACAACGCTTTCCTTTTCGTCTTTTATTTTAGTCGCACGGTGCCATATCAGGTGAATACGGGGAGTGATTAATTGTTAAAATGTGATTTTTAGTCAAATAATCGGCCACAAGCGTCAACTTCATTTAAATTTAATGTTGGCTCTTTGTTCGAAGCTCATTTTCGCAGCGATGACAAAAACATACTGACACTTAAAACGCAATAACTTCACTTCCAATAGATGAAATGTCATGAAATTTTTACTGGAAGTCGATAAAGAATAGCAGATTCTAACGCACTAGTCGACATATTGATGGCGCCACTAGAGTTTACTTTGTTACTTTTTTACTGTTTACTTTGGAACGCACCTTGTATAAGTATTTATATGAGAATGCCGCAAAAAGGGCTTGCCTAAAATTTGGAACTCACACAAACAACAGCCACCTTAACAAATCTTAAGATAATTGCTTTTTATGTTCTCAAATTTTTGGAAGTTTTGTGAGAGCGAGAATGTGTAAAATAAGTAGTAAGAATGTATGTAGTGAACATACAGTTTGAAACTTTTTGAACGTTCTGCAATATTTGTGTATATAAAACAAATCATTTTCGCTATTGTTTCCGACGGATGACTCCACATGCCAGTGGGTTCTCCTTGTGGTTCTCAAATTAACTACTAAGTTACCTCTAAGGTATGTTGGAGGGGTGAAGTGTTCGAGTTACCCGAATATTGAAATGACGGCCATCAGATCGACCCCTTGACGTGAAGAGTTCTTCTGACACGTCGGTCACTCCACGACAACCAGGTCGAGGTCATTTACTCGGTTGTTATCTGCCTAGAATGATATTCAGATACTCCTGTCGAATTTTAAATATTATTTCCATGGAAACCCGTTTACTACATACGATACCCTGAATGATAATTTAAAAATATGCTTGTCCCACTCGTATTCCATTGGTACATACTTTGAGAACAACAGGTATAGAATGTCAATAATTCCGTTGTGCTTCAACTGCAAACTTTAGGGAATGCCGAAACGAACAAGCAACTACTACAAATAGAATAGTCCCCCTTTTATCATAGTCTGTACATACTGTCTCTCTCATAATTAATTCAACTTATTATTTTCACTACTACTTATAGTAGTTGAAGAGAGAACATACTTATGTAGTTCAAGAGCACAATGTAAGAAATTTCTAAATTCAATTAAAAATACTTGCCGTTTATCGGTTTTGACTGTATTTTGTAGTCAGTATTAAATTGCATAACTTTAAGTTTTACGCAATATTAAACATAATGAAGTAATACCGTTATTACTTAACTAAAAAAACCAACTAAACTCTGTCATATTAATGACAGGCTCAGCCATTGTGACAAAATAGTAACAAAATAATAACAGTAGTACAGTACTAGTATTTATGCAACACACTATAGTATAATAAATGCGTCTACAAAATATCAAACAATAATTAACTTAAAATTTAATTATAAGCTTCTTTTAAATATAGGATAGCCCGCGAATAATTACAAACTAAAAATAACAAAAGCACAAATAAAAAACGAAAACACAATGACATCAACGTCTACGATTAAAAAAATTACAATCCTATTTGGCATCGTCTGCTCGGTAAGTGAATTGAAATTATTATTAAATACAAATACTTGTATATGTATAATTTTAATATATAAAATTAGTATTTTAGATTTTTATAAATATAATATAAATTCTTTTACTTACTTATTTATAAACAAAAAAAAAAAAAACAACTTGGCGCTTTGGGTGTTTGACTATCTAAAAAATTTTGTTTTTAAATAAAGTTTTTCTGAGACTATCTACCATCAAAGTTCTGTTCTAAATTTGAATTTAGACCCCGAACTTAAAGGGGGATAAGGGTTAATTCGTGTAAAATAAAGCAAATTTTTTATACTTTTTTCCTGTGGAACACTTAAAACCTATTTTTAGAAACCAATGGCACATTATAGTATGACATTTGAAGAATATTCTGTTAAATTTTCATAGAGAAACATAAAAAAATATCATCTTGATCATCAATGTATCATCTCCTAGCAGCGTTACCTCGTAATTATGTATAGAAATAGTGATCAAAACGATCGATGCAGTAGTTTTAAAGTTATGAAGGGCACCGGCTTTGAAAACGTGAGTTGTGGAGAAAACGCTTTAAAGTTTCGAAATCTGTGTTAAAACATTCATAAGAGAGGTATGTAACTACTCTTAACTTCATCAATTTTGCTCCAATCGACTTGCAATTTAAACACAACATTCTTGAGATATTCATCAGAGACATTCATCAGAGACAAAAAAAAAACAAAAAAAAAAACAAAAAAAAAATTAAAAACCCCTACCCTTAAACGAAAACTTTTGTTAAAATTTACAATATGTTCCTTCAAAAGCATGACAGCTGATGGTTGGACAGATTTACCGGTGTTTTTTTTTAGTATTTTCGTTAGGTAATTGTAGTGTCCGAGAGCGAGACAGAGACTAATTCACCCTGTCAATAATGCTCTCTTGAACTAATTTTATAGTAAATGAACAAGGTGAGCGTTTTTCTTTCAATAATTGTGTTTGTCCGTTGAACTCTATATTAAATATCTGAGAGCCAGACGTCTTATATCCATAAAACACACTTTTTACCTCGAGCTCAGACCGCATTACTTGTTTATTGCTCTTTGAAGCATTTGAATAAATTTTGTTTTATTTTTTTATGTGTTTAAGATTTACAAAAAAAAAAATATTTCGGCAAAATATAAAAAAAATATTTATACATAAAATTTAAGATGTGATTGAATAAACATCGATTTGATCATCATTTTGTGTCACTGCCCAAGCGCAGTATGAACTTGTCAAGGTTAAATTTAACCCGCAGCGCGCTTTGAAACAAGATTTTAATAGCAAGAATTGTATGCTGATTTAATTTTTATCGATTTTTATTACTTTTTTTTTAAGAAAAGCTTTATAAATTTAATCATAATCTAACGGGAGACTATAATCTTTAATGAATTCGACTTATTTGGAGAATGAGATGCGTATATTATTGCATTTATTTACAGCTTTTTATTGTACAAATCATCTTCTAAGGGTTAACAGTTCTACGTCAAATTCAATTTATTGAAAGCGAGAGCAATCATGTGAGCGAACAATCAAAAAAAAAATACTTGTTTACTAGCATGTGCAAATTTTGAAATTTTTTAACGTACATAAATATGTATGCATGTATATAAATATATTGTAATTTATTAAAAAAAAAGCAAATATTATTAAAAATCCGCCCCTTTTAATTTAAAAGTGATAGCAATAAAAGAAATAACAGCAATATTCCCAGAATTTCAATTTCTGGCTAACTGTTATAAGGCATCTGCTTTTGGTAATAAATATATACATATATACCAATTTACATATATGCACGTATGATAATACCATATGTATATCATTTAAACAAGAGTCTATATTCATAAAACCATTTGCCTGTCGCGATAAAAAAAATATTTTCGCCTAGAGTATACAAAGCCGTTTTTTACTCACAGGGTAACCAAAAGGTATGAAAATAATTTTGTTTGAGTGACTAAACAACAATGGGGAAAATTCGAAACATGCATATGGATTAATAAATCCTATAAAAAAATTGATTTATGAACGACTCAATTTCAGTGTGTATATATTTATGTTTTGAAATGAAGTAAGGAAGTGCCGACATACAGGTTGAACATTTGACTCCCTCGCAAATTGTAGAAAGGTGCACCTTTCATCACCCCACCAAAGATTTTCAAAGCTCAATGAAAATTTTACCTAAAATTAAACGCTACAATACAGTATACTGGTCTATTAAACGAAATTTTAGTCCCCATTTCGACAAATTCAAACAAATGAATAGTTTTCAACCATTTCCAGAAATTTATTTTTAATTGGTCGAGTATAAAAAATTTCAACTGTAATTGTGTCACGCTCATATGCTTTTAAGTAATTGTGTACCATTATGTAGGAGGAAAGGGCGGGCCGATATTTTTTTATTTTCAGACAGTAACATATAAAAATAGCAGTTTATTAGATACATCTGTTCGTTACGTCATTTTAAACTTTTTGGTATCCCCAGCTTATTATCTATATCATATTGTATTGTTATAAACATACGTTATATGGAAGATTATAAAAAAATAAAAACCCATTAGAAATTTCATAAAATCGTCCGAAGCAAATGAGTGCGGAGAATAGCGGTATGGTCAGATGGTAAAAAGGACACTTTCAATGCAATTCTGCAACAAAATTACAATAATAATATAATTTATTTTAAATTTTAGAGGAGACAATTTTAAAATTATAAAAAAAAAAATTTTATATAGTATATATGTAAAGTAATTATTTTGATTTATTTTATAGGCATTATTTATTTTATAGAAAAAAGTAATTAAATTAAAATTTAAATATTTTTTTTGTATTTCAAAAGTCTTAATTAAAAATAGTCTTAAATTTTCTAATCATTAATATAGGAGTAAAAATTAGAAGCAAAGAATTATTCCCAAATATCAGTTTGAAAAAAAAAATTATTACCAACTTAATAATAAAAATTTAAATAGACATTTTTATTGCGCTTGCGTACTTCGTGTTATCATTTTTTAATGCTGATTTTTGCATTAAAAATTAATTTGTGTACTTACGTACCATTTGATCAAATTTGACCCGGACTGTTACAAAAATCAACATTTTCAATATTTTTAATATAAACTTATATATCGCTTTCAAAATACGTTCCTTTTGTGTCCGAGTCATATTTGATCAGACTTTATATACTTATATACATACCATATGCACATATGGTTTATTTTGATTCTACTCAGCGCCATTTATATTTTACTATTTCCGAATTTTCACTTTCATTGAAGCATTAAATTGTGCCTACACACACACACACTTACTTAGCTAAAGTGTAAACTATGAAATATGCTTTTTCTATCTAAATTTATTGATCGTAAATTATTTTCGATATTGCCTTGCAATAAATGAGTCTAAACATATGTTTGTATGCATGTGTGTAAGTAAAATTCGCAGATTTTGTATTTTTGGTCGATTTTCTGTTGAATTAAGCGCAATTGCATATTTACTATTGTGTGGTGTTAAAACCATGTGGCGGGAAATTGAAATACTTTGCTAGTAATCAGCTCCGCCACATTTTATAAAATATTATGTGAAAGAGAATTCTTCATCGTTTAGCAAAAAGCTGCACAAATTTATTGGCGAAATTAATTAATTTCGTTTTCAATTTTTCCCTTGATATTTCGTGCAATTGAAATGAAGGTCGCAAAATCCTTTATAAATACATATGAGTGGCTCTCACTTTTCAATTTTTTAATTGTGCGGTTTCAAATTATGAGTGGTTGTAATTTGTTTGTATGTATGTAATTTGAAATGACCGTTATTTGATAAACTCATATATTCTTATTTGCCGAAACGAAACTTAAATATAGCCAGGCATACATACATACATACGTAGATGTATATTCGAAGTTGAAATTGCTTTGGCTTAGCCTTTCTATACTTGGAGCATAGAATAACAACAAAAAAAGTAAACCACAAAATATGTATACATACACATATGCATAGTATGTATGTTAGTATTTCAGTATATACATACATATATGTATGGGCGGTTTTATAAAAAAAATGTTTCAATTTCGCAGAAATTAGATTACGATAGCCGTAAACATTGCATATCAATTTTTATTACCTGAAAATAATGCAAATTTTTTTTTGTCTTGGCTCTTGTGTGTATATACATATGTACATAAGTATGTATGTATGTACACTTGTTTTAAAATATTATTCACCACACTAAAAATGCCTATTGAGACCAGAAATCAAAATTGAACTACTTCTTTCCCAGCTATCCTCAAATTTTTTGTTTACAGTGGTTTAAAGTTTGGGGTTTTTCGGTATTTATAATATTATACTTTATTTAGTGATTCATATTATTACACAACATGAAAAAACATCTATAAAACTCCATTCGAAGTGGTCTTTGTAACCAGAAGTCAAAATTAACAATTTACAAAGCATTTAAATATCGAACCTCCTTCCACACTCGTAGCTAATTTAATAGTTTTTTATACACTCTCTCAAAATTTTGTTTAAAAAATTAGAATATTGTTTTTTTCTCAACTAGTTTGTAAGTAAGATTATCTTAGTTTTATTTTCAACGGATTCGAGTTTTGTAAGAATTTTTTTACTTACTGTAATTGGCTCTCAAAACTTTAAACACATTTTTCTCAAATGTTGTTTTCAGAGTCGAAAAACTTCTTTGAAACGGCAGGACTGATTGACTTGACATTTTCACACGACTTTCTTAGATATATTTTGCAGATAATGACCGAAGGAATGAGATTTTTGACAATAACTTTTTCCTCCTGCATATCGGCAACGGGAATGTCCGATTATTGAAGTACATTAAATTCTGTAAATGTACATTTTTTATTTATTTATTGTATAATTTTGACTTACAAATGGATATAACCTTTAAAGCTTAGCGAACTTAGCCTTTGTGCAGTTAATCATAGGAAATTTAGTGAGCTTCATGCTCACAGTAAGACTTATTATCCTACATTACTAAGAATATTGTT